GCTTGAAGACATGGGTGTCACTCCATTTTATTGTGACAACAAGAGTGCCATTTATATTTCTAAAAATCTAGAATTCCATTAGCGCACGAAACATATTGAAGTCGATTGCCACTACGTCTGACAATAATATCTCGCAGGCACAACTTCTTTACCATATTTGCCCACTGCAGTACAACTCGCCAATTTCTTCACTAAATCTCATCCCCGCATTCTTTCTCATAGTTTGTTTCCAAACTCCCCATGATTCATTTCAAATCATCTCGCGTTTGAGGGAGAATGTGAACAGACATGGCAACTGCAACAGATATGGCAACTGGATATTGAGATATGTCGGTGTCAAATTGTATGATATACCTGTATAGAAATTGTATCCTATAGTTTTAGTAAGTATTGGTTGAACCCTCTCTATAAATACACAATTGTATTGTAATCTTATATATATATAGAAATACAAAGTTATTTCTCATAATATGCACTATGCCTTGATGTACATGTGTATGTGAATGAGCATTGTATGTTTCGTACACAATAAATAATTATGTGAAAGTATTTCACATGAAGGAACTCCGTCATGGAGTTAGATGTGGAAGTTTGATTGTCAATTGGTATTAAAAAATTCACTTAGGTGAGCTCCCGTATCTAATGACTTGAAGAAGTTATTTTGTAGTAGAATATTTTTACGAAAGTATTTTCATGTGTACCAAACGTGCCAATTTGAGGATGTGCACAAGAGAGTGGGGGATAATGGGCTATTCCTTCTCCATTACAAATTTTAATGTTTGGACTCCTTTCCATATTCTCAAGGCACACAGGTATGACTCTGGTAGGCTAATAAATGCTTATTGTATACAGGAAAAGTACAAAATTATACCATTTATCTTTGATACAAGAATGTCACAATGAAATCGAGAGGATCAGGAGCATAGATTGTACCATTGGCCGTAATTCGTAAGTCTAAAAATTTGTTCTTCAAATATTGTGTAAACAAATGGCTAACTGAGCCATGTTTTTAATATAAGTAGTTCTCTTGAAGTTTTATTTAGCCATTTTCTTAAATAAAGTCCAAACATGGCTGTTATGGTCAGTCTAATATGCCCTTTGTTCTATTTTACAATTAAGGAAAAAGTTTATAAAGAGCTGAGGCTCTAAACAATCAAATTAGAGCCCACCTAAAAAATTTCATTAAAAGAGGTTGTTTTTTATGCTCAAATATACAATATGCATTAAGAGGATAAAAAAATGGATTTCAAATTTTGGAAATAATGCATCGTGAAATGCATTTTGGATGTCAATTTTCAAGATTTTCAAGTGTTCGTAGATCTGCTCGATCTACACTATTTTTTCAGCTTTAAATTTTATAATTAACGATGAAGATATATTTTAAGGCTATCACAAAAAATTTCAAGATTGAAATCACATTTCTTGACACTATTTGAAAATGCAATTTACTTTGATTATCTAAAGCCTCGGATCTATACAAGCCGCACCCTCTATGCAATAGTCTGACAAGAATTTCAATAAAAAAAAAGGGAATTTTATCATTGCTTATAACATATAAACTATCAAACCACTCATAAGAGATAAACTATTTTAAAATTTACCCTTTTGCAACTATGCCATGTCATAATCGTACATTTTTTATGGGTATTTGAATTAAATAAAAAAAATGGATAAAATGTCTAGTAGTTCGTAAGTGATAGTTATTTTGATAAATTTCCAAGAAAAAAATTATCTGACAAGAGCCATGAAATTTTGCATTTGATAATTTGGGGTCTTTGTGCTTTGTGTATAAAAACTAATGGTCTAATCCAGTAGAAATCCCTGTATATCGTGTGGTTAGTATGATCTTATCTCTCCCGTCCATCTTTAATGATGAGTGGTTGAGATAAAATTGTGAAGCATGTGACATTCCTATTTTTCATGATTCTAAAACTCGCACATCGCTCTTAACATAAGACCCGCTTAGGCAACATCGACCCAAGCATAAAGGAAAGCCTTGCACTTTCATTCTTATGAATTGAATAGTTAATTTAGGCATTTTTGTTAAGGGTGAGGTTTGTATAACGTTGCCTTCTTATTCTGTACAAGAAAGAAGCACCTATAAAATTTACTTAGAGATATTGTTTCGACGTAGAAAACCTTATGATAGCTTTAAAATCCCTTTTTATCTTCAGTTATAAAATTTAAAATTTAAAAGATGGTATAGATCAAGCAGATCAAGAAACACTCGAAAGCCTTGAAAATAGACGGTCCAGATAACTTGTTACAAGATGCATTATTTTTTGAACTTAGAATTCTTTTTTTTTTTTAATGTTCATTCATCACGAGGTTGAGATGATCAGTTAGAGGGTTCTCCTATGCTTGAACACTCTCCACTGTAGAATTTTGATGTGCACCTTACTTCAACAATATAATGTTGCAACCTTATATAAACTTTTTCCTTTGATCCCTAGTTTCAAAACTCACCGAAAAATTACATTTTTAGGCTTCTTGCCAAACTTTCAAATCGATCATCTCAGCCTTAATCCTTATGATTGGCAAAAAAAAAAAAAAGAGATTTTAAGCCCAAAACAAAAGTATATATTGTAATACATTATTTAAACCATCCATTTCACCCTACAAATAAGTATTTTGGGATCTACCAGATCTATTCCATTTTTTGAGCTTCAAATTTCATAATCAGTATGAGAATTTGATTTTATAGTGACCACGATTGTTTTCGTAAAGCCTACGCTTTATAGAGATGCCTTCGTTTTATAAATTTCTTTTGAACACTTGAATTGTAATTTTTGATGAGTTACGAAGCCATGCTTTACTTATTTTGGTAGAGCTACAACCCTATCAAACCGTTTTCCTTTATATAAACATTGTTATGACCAGTGTTTTAAAAAACGCCAAGTCGAACTGGACTTGCCCGGTTCGACTCGGAAATCGCAAAAAGTGGATCGTATCGGCTAAAAATCGAAAATCGTCCGGTTCTAGAGAGAACCGGACGATTCTGTACAGTGACTTGCCGATTCACTGTACGGAATCGGCGAGTCCGAACAATGAATCGGCGAGTCCCGTATGGAATTTTTTTTTTTTTTTTTTGTTTTTGTTTTTGTTTTTGTTTTTGT